GTCTCAACTTAGGTGAGACGCGATGGGAAAGAAGGTAGAGAAACAGTGACCCATGTGAGCCCTTCTCAAGCTGGGGTGTAAATACATCTCATCTCAGAGAAACCTGCTTAAAAAAATGCCACTAGGCAGCCTCTCTGGGGACCCCCTGGGAAAAATCGGCTGAGAGAGCGCCTCTTGAAGACAAGAGCAAAGGGTTGGGAGTGGGCTGTGGCCATCTGTGACCTGCCAGAGGCCTCTGCCTGCCAGGTTTGGGTGCAAGCAAGGCCTCGCTCTACCCCTGAAACCCAGCTTCCTGGCATGGAGTTGCGGGCTACACCCATTACCCTGACGCTCCTCAACCAGAGTTCACTCAAGCCACAGAGTAGAATTCCAGAGGCACAGAGCAACCAGGGTCCTTCGGAAGCCAAACTCTGAAGCTCGCTACTGATGGACGTTCCTTAGAGGGGTGGGAACACTTCTGTTTTCTGGACAGGAGGACACTTTCTGCTGGCAAAGCTGTGTGGGTCCCTTCCTCCAGGTGTACCCAGGACAATGTTTAAACAGGAGAAGGAGAAACAGCAGCAGATGCTGGAAAAGCTGGAAAAGCTGGAGGTCTTCCAGATCTTGTTCCCTGTTCTTGTTCCATGAGCTTTTATTTAAAAAAAATTTTTTCTAAACTGGTTATAGTGGCATAAATCTATAATCTCAGACTCTGGGAGGCTGAAGCAGGAGGACTAGAAGTTAAAGCACAGGCTGGGCAAATCAGTTATTCACCAAGGCCCTGTCTCAAAATTTAAAAAAAGGAGTCAGGTGTGGTGACATATCCCTGTAATCCCAGCACTCAGGAGGCTGAGGCAGAAGGACTGTCACAAATTGGAGGCCAAACTGGGCTACATAGTGAGTCCAAGACCAGCCTGAACTGCATAGCTAGACTCTGTCCCAAAAAAGAATAATACATAAATAAATAAATGGTTGGGGATGTGGTTCAGTGTAAAGAGCTTGGATTACATCCCTGGATTAAAACCTGGATTAAGAATTTGGATTAAGGGGCTGGGGAGCGATCCTGGCAAACTTGATATCCTGAGGTTCATTCCTAGTTCCAAAATAAAATAAAATTTGTATTAAAAATATTCAGTAGAACTATGATGTGTGGCACTTGGGGTTTCTTAATTTCAGAATCCTGTAAGTAGTGTCATTAAGGTAAACCCCTTGGTCACCACTTGGGGATAGCTGACTTTAAAACATTCCAAAAGGAGTAACATAAAATACTTTTAGGAATGAAAATACTTAGACATGAAAACAAGACCTAACTTGTTTATCATTGAGGTATCAGCTGAGCATGACTCCATCGGCCTATTTTGATGATGCTCTGGAACTCAAACACAGTTGTTTCCCTCTCCAAAGGGCACGACCCCTCTCTCTCTTTTTCTGGCATTTTGGAGACTGAGTTTCACTATGTACTCCAGGATAGCCTTGAACTCACAGAGAGATCCTCCTGCCTCAGCCCCACAAGTGCTGAGATTATAGGGATAATCCCATACCTGGCAGATGTGGGATTATCCCTATAATCTCACCCTCCACCCCAAATACTTAGATTTAGGATAAATTTAATGTTGCTTACAGTTTCACTGCCAGTCCTTTATTAAAAGGTTTTGGGGCAAGATCTATCTAAATTGCCCAAGCAGGACTGGAACTTGTGATCTTCCTGCCCCAGCCTCCTGAGTGCTGGGATTATAAGGTGCATGTCACTGGGCCCAGATATTTTGATATATTTTCATGAAAAGCACTTAAGTAGATCTGTTGATACTAAACAATACACTATTAAGTTTCCAAAAAGTCTGGGAACAAGGAAAAGATTGTATTTGTTACAGGTTTTTGCCCCTTCAGGGTAACAATGGATCTACTATTAAAGCTGTAGAGGTGTATCACTTAAATAGACAGCTGGTCTGGAGGCCTAGGAAAATAAAATTTAACATAGTATTTGAAAATGTGAACTGATATATTGCTTAAAAATAAGATTATCTTAGCCAGCTGTGATGGTACCTGCCTATAACCCCAACATTCAGGGTGCTGAGGTAGGAGGAATAATGTGTCCGGGGCACCTTGGCAATTTATCAAGGACCCGTCTCAAAATAAAAAGGGCAGACGCCAGGTGTGGTGCCCATGCCTGTAATCCCAGCACTTGGTAGGCTGAGACAGGAGGATTGCCAAAAATTCAAGGTGAGCCTGAACTACCTAGAGTGACCCTATCTCAAAAAAACAAAAACAAAAACAAATTAATGAATTATTAATTAGCAAACAGGCAGGGAGTGTAGCTCAGTGGTCAAACACATTCTGAAAGTGTATGAGGTGGCCCCAGCCCAATCTCCAGCACAGCAAAGAAAAAAAAAGGAGAGAGAGAGAAAAAAAGAGAAGAAAAAAGATCCAAGTCAATTGCTGGAAGACAGGAATTCTGGCCCAATATTGCCAGATCTTTTGATTTCTCTAGAGAAGTCAGAAATCTGGATTTGATTCCTGACTTTTACAAACCCTATTTGGCTAAACCAAACAAACCGGCAAAGTATTTTCAGTAGCAAGGATCCAGTTTGCAAGCTGCAGAGTAACTTTCTTAGGTTCTTACAACTAGGAAACAAAGGATAAATCAGAACCCCACTCAGTGGACTCAACTTCCTCTTTCCTCCCTTTCAGGGTGTGTGGAAAGAGCTGCCCTGAGTCAAATGTGTTGAAATGGTTCAACTTCCAAAGCTGCTGGCCTGTGGCTGTGGCTGTGGCAGTGGCAGCCATATGAGGCTCCGTCACCAACCAGGAGTGCTTCCCAGGGGAAGGGTGAGGAGTACTGAACAAGGAGGGGTGTGGCAGGGATTTTAGCTCTTAAAAATCTTTGCACAACCCAGACATTCCCAACGCCACCTCTGCCCACCTTCTGGATTTAACAACCTGCAAAAAGAAAACCAGGAAGCTCCTTACTCCACCCTAAAGTGAATCTAATTTGAAACTGTTATCTGGGACTTGGAATGCACAAAACCTTCTACCAGTCTCTTGAGAATCCTTAGTGCATACCTCTCTCTGGCAGGAGAATGCGTTCTGGCAATATTTACCAGAAAATCTTGGGGTTTTGGTCCAACCGTGCCCTAGAATGAAGAGGTCTCCTGCACTGCCCACATCACTGCTTCCTAAACACTGACTGCAGCCTTTGAAATGGGATGAATATTTCACTTCCTTTCACACCCTGGACTGTGTAAAAAGGTCCTCCCGAAACAGCCTAGCTGTCTTGCTGTGTTGAGAATTAAAAAGGAGCACGCATGCACCCACACATGAGCAGCCATTTCTATAAATGCCTGAGCAAAGCACTCAGCCAAATGGCCCAGAATGCTGGAAATCCTGCTCGGGAGCTGGACAGACTCGGTAGCTCAGAGGCACTGCAGGCCTCCCCAGCTGCAGGCCTGGGCAGCTTCCCCTGAAGGAGAAAATGCCTTTGCTCAAGGTGGCAGTGGGTGTCGCCCATGTGAACAGCCCCACTCCGGGAACATGGCTGACAGGGCCAGGCCCGCCCAACAGCTGTTGATGAGTAACACCCTCAGCTCCTACCCCCCCTTCACCCCCAGAGCCACGCTAAAGGTCACATCCCCCAACACAGACCATCCACCTGCCTGGCAGATACACTTTCCAAAGGTGCTGCTGGATGGAACCCTACATGCGGACCCCACCTGGAACCTGATTTTGCATGAATCAAGGAGGAAATCCAGATTCACTGCAGTGCCGGCAGCCACCCCCAAAAGAAATCACTTTCCAAGGGAAGTAAAACATGAGAGGCAGTTACATAGCCTTTTAAAAAGCAAAGCACAACAAGAGCTAAAATCCGAGTGTCATTTTGAAACCAAAAACCGAGGGGTCTTCTCTTACTGTCAAATCTTCACACATAACACGCAAAATTGCAGTGCCTTCCTAAGGGACTCCGACAACCTCTTAAACAGGCTGTCGCTGGACAGAGGGACAGAATGTTACCAGGAGAAGGCCAGGGCTCCTGCATCAGCACAGCAGTTATAAAAGGATCTTTCTAAAGATGGCCAAACAGCATGGCTGAATGTGAATGTTTTCCAACTTTTTCTGAGCACAGAACTGGCTGACCAAGGTCCCTGTGAATCTGCAAAGCCCATTTTACACGCAGATGCCTTTCCGGCCACATTCATTAGTCCAGATCCCCGGCTTGCCCTCCCCGGGACTGGTTCGACCTGGACCTCGCAGCCTCCAGAACTGCCCATCATTACAGAACCTTGACCTCCAGGCACGGATCACAGCGCCACACTAACTGTTCCATCTCAGGGCGAGGGTGCAACCTCAGTCACTCAGGAGGGTGGGGTAAGGGTGGGGGTGGGGTCAGCTCTGGAATCTGGCTCCTTCGGAAGGCTAACTCGGGAAGTTAACCCACCAACCATTACTTGATCAAACTCCCCTGCTGCCTGAAGCAGTGTTATTTTAAACCTCTCAGGGGACTCTTGGCCAAATTTAAAAGCACCTTGGCAAGCCCTGAAAGTAGCAGGCATCCATCTGAGTCCTTAGTCACCCCTAAAAGGCTCCATAGAAAGTGCGCTTCCAACATCCCCCAGGACGCACACACACACACAACTTCTCTTCAACCCCATAAGGGAATGAAATGAAAGACAGGCCATCTGACTTCCCCGCTGCCCCAGTCTTCCCAGGTGGGGTGGCCCCGAGGTGCCGAGTGCGGAGTCCCGGGGGCGGGGCGCGCCCAGAGGGAAAGAGGGGCGGGCCCGCCTAGCCACGCACAGCCCTCGCTCGGCTTGCGAGTTTAAGGCTCTCGGTGGCTTCTAGAGCCTGGGGGACAATTAAAAGAGTCTGAGCTTCCCACCTCTGCACCATTAAATCACCGCAAGCGTAAAAAAAGCATCGTCTCCAAATGTTTCGCTCTAGGCCGAGAGCCTCGTCCTGAGCACCCAGGCGCGCTGCCCGGCCAAAGGTTAACTAACCCCAGAGCGCGGGGGAGAGGGGACGCCGCTAACCTGTATGCACTCTGTAATGGGCTTTGAGATGGGAGGATTTTCCATAGACTTTCCCACAGCCACTGTAGGGGCACTTGTGCCTCTTTTCGGAGGCGTGTTTCCCCTTCGCAGCCACTCCAGGGTGGAGGAGGGAGAGCGGGCTGGGCGCGCTGCCAGGATCCTGTCTCTCCTCCGGGCTGTGGGAAGGACTCGACCCAGATTCGGTGGTCACGTCGCTGTCGGATCCCATATCCTCATCAGGACTCTCCAGACTGTCGCTGCACACCGAGGGGGTCTGGATGGGTCGGTACTTGTTCAGGTCCAGCAAGCTCTTGGCGATGGTGACCAGCGTGCAGTAATCCTTCCAGGTGTCCCCCGGGTCACCGTGCTCCTTGGTCACCTCGCGTTCAGGTAGTCGCAGTCGCTCGGCGTCCGGAGCGCCCCCATGCTCCGGCACCGCAGCGCGGTTCGAAATGGAAACCAGACACTGGGCAGCCACGAAGTCCATGTAGGCGGCCGCGGACATGGTGCGGCGACAGCGGCCCCGGCGGCGCGGCCAAACTTGGCGGTGGCTGCGGAGGTTGGGCTCGCCCTGCCCTGGCTTCGGACGAAGAGCGCGGCGCGGCGCGGCGGCCAAGGGGGCGGGGGCGCGGGCGCTTCCGACTCGCAGGAGCGCCGAGGCGACCTCAGCCCCTCATCTTTACGTAACTGGCAGCGCCTCCGCACGCAGCATCCACAGCCCGGGGCTCAGCCGCACCGCCGCCTCTCGCCGCCGCCCCTGCCCGGCGCCTGGCGCGATCCCCCCGGATGGACGGGCGGACGGGCGCGCCTGCCCTTCGGAGCCGGCTCCCTTGGAAAGATGCCACACGTGGCGATCGCAAGTTTATTCGACTGAAAACGCCCCCGAGGCGCGGCGAGAGGAAACTGCAAGAGAGGAACGCCCTCGACCGCCTCTCCGTCAAGGGAAAGCCCAGCACATTCACTCGACCACCTCCACGCGGATGGCGAGGGCCGCGCCGCGCGCCAGGTCTAGGAGACACTTTTCCCCCCGTCCGCGGACGGCTTCTGAGCGCCGGGTCCGGCCGGTCCGCACCGTTCCGGCATTCTCTTGCTCAGTAACAATTTCGCAGAATCCCATCACGTCACAATCCAAACCCCCTCCAATTGGCCAGTGGGGAGGGTGATTCAACTCTGTTTACTTTCTCCCCCTGCCAGTCAGAACGGCCTTTCGGTGGAGAGGAGCGTCTAGAACTAGAGGCTTGCGGCCAATCCGACTGTTCCATTCCGCTGCCTCGTGCTACCTCTCCAGCCTCGAACGCAGACTTTTAAAAGGGTAACAGCCGGGAGGCCGGAAAGGGGCCGCTGCTCATCCTCTAGGGGCGCCGCTCTGTCCGATTGCCAGTCCGGGGCTCCTGGCTCCTGGCTGTAGTTCCTGCTTGCAGAGCTTCAGGACCCATCTCCCCTAGTCAGTTGCGCTGGTTCCTATGACAAAAGACAACTTCAGCTTGGGTTTTCCAGTCTGCAAACGGTTAAGTGACTTCCTGCAAACGCTACAGTCCCAGCAACCAGCCTTCCAATCAAAAGTAAGTTGGTTGATGTCACTGGCATTGGCTCATCCAATCAGAAGCGCGTTTCGAAAGCCAGCGCTCCACGCACACTTGTAGGCGCGCAGAGCTGTACTGAAATTGGACACATCTGTGTATCTTGTGTTGTTGGTAGTAAAGTTGTGAAATGAGTGGGAACCCAGAGATGATGAGTAAACGCAGTGTAAATCTATACTTCCTCCCAAAAGAGGTCTCACTATGTCAGGACAGGTCGTTCAAAAATAAACACAAATGAGAAAACATCAGTCGGTTTTCTGGTTTTGTCTTCTGGGATGAAAGATATGTTTAAGTAGAAAAAGCCTTATATCTCATACATCAACTATGACCAACTCATCTTTAAGATTCAGAGCTAACAAAAATTCTGCCTTTAAAGCATAGTCTTTATCAAATAGTTCTTACGCAGAAACATTCTATCTTTCCCTTTGCTGTGTCCGAATTTTGTTTTTCTTTCCTGGTGTAGTTTATGTTACGTAAATTACTTTTGTTTCCCTGTAAACCTAGTTTAGCCCACCTTCAAATACAGGAGGGAAAAATTCCTCATTTGTAGAATTTTTCCAAAGAAACTTCATTTTCTTTCCAGAGTCTCTGCCCCACAGCATGACAGTGGGACTCTTTACCTGTGTAGAGGTGGGCACAGAAAAGTGGCTTACCTACCTTTTTAGGTAGGTCATGACAAAATAAATCGAAACCACAAGTTTCCTGACTTCTGGCTCTTTGTAGTTTAAAACAGAGACCTTTGCTTTGGTTTTTGTGAAATATTAACTGTGCCAAAAGAGTCTTAAGAACTGGAACCAGCTGGAGCTCCTTTGCCATTGAATGCCATTGCCGTGGCATTACTTGATCAACAATTAGTGTGGGTCTTGGAGTCTGATTAACTCAGCTCGCCTCTCCCTCTGGTTTGCTGGGGTTGTTTTCCACCCTTATACCCCATAAAAGTATCAATGGCTGGCCTCTCTCAGGAGGCATGCTATCAACACAGTTGATTAAAAACATATATACCGCCCTGCATGAGACTTATCTGTTTCTCTGTGGTGTAGATTTGATGAACTGGAACCCTGCCTCTCACTCACTACAAACCTTCATTAAGATTTGTAAAAGTTACAGCAGATTCTTTGTCTCTAAGGGAAGTGTCTTAAATTAACCCAATTTGAAAATTAGGGTAGCTGGGTGTGGGGACCTACCCTTGCAATCCCAGCACTGGGAAGGCTGAGGCAGGAGGATTGCTCACTTAGGCCAGCCTGGATTAAGTATACTGAATTCAAAGCTAGTTGGAACTCCATAGTAAAACCTTGTCTCAAAAAACAAAAAGAGTGGTTTTGAATTTTGAAGTCACCACAGTAGATGACTACATAGGGAAGGAACATGCAGGAGGAAAGGCAGTCCTGGTCAACAGAAGACATCATCACCCTATCACTGTCTTTATCCCATGACCTTCGATTGCTTACTCTGTGCCAGGCCCAGTACCAAAGACCCTGCATGTCACAGCAACCCTGTGAGGCAAGTAGATCATACAAGGCTACCGTGGAGCTTTCCTGGAATTTCTGTACCCAGTATCCAGTATCCAGTACCCAATACCCTTAATTCACTAAAGCCCAGGGGGATTTGCCTACTTTGTAACCTTTCTGAGCCAAACTCTGCCTAGGATATGTGATCACTTAGAAAGTGTACCTTTGTTTGCCTCCATAAGCTTTAGAACAAAAACTAGTGAGATTTTTCCAGGGATGGCTCACAGTGGCTCCCACAATTTTTGTCTTGCTGGTTCTAAGGATTAAAGCTAGGGCCTTCACCCTACGCTACATCCTGAGCCCTTTAAAGAAAGTATTTTGGTCTGGGCTGGTGGTACAGGCCTGTAATCTCAGTGTTAGGAAGCTGAGGCAGGAGAATTGCTACAAGAGTCTAGGTTTTATCGTGAATTCAAGGCCATTTTGGAATAGCAAGACCTTGCCTAATAAACAATTTTAAGATAAATTACATTTTTATTATAAATTATTTTGAGACAGTATCTCACTAAGTCACCAAATTGCCTAGTCTGGGTTTGAATTTTTGATCTTCTAGTCTCAGTTTCCCAGAGTGATGAGATTAAAGCAAGTACTGTCACAGCCAACTCCAGACTTATATTAACTGGCCCTGTGTTAGTAAAATACACATCTCGGGTATATAGATAGCTTTACCTTAATGTCAGCATGAAAACAGATGCTATCTATGTGTGTCTCTTTTACATATTGACCTACCATAACTGCTGGTTGATTTAGAGATTCAGAGAACACTTTCTCCTTTTCCTTTTCCCTGTCACTCAGTCTCCAGGTATTTATGCTCTTGGCAGTCCCCTAGGCATGGGAAACACAAATGAAAAGTGACTCTGTTTTCCATGAGACTTACATGTTAAAAGCAAATAACAAGTAATAACTTCTACATCAGGTTTTTATCGCATCTGTTCAACACAAGAAACCAATTTACGCTGTTTTGTCAGCATATGGTTATCTCAATTAAATTTTGGCAAAATATCCCAAATTAATATGAATCATCCCTAATTAAAACGCATAATGTATCAGTAAGGTAGCTAGCTTGCCGTATAACATAAGAGGTCTGCTTTCTCCTCCAATTAGTTTTCACTAGTACACATGACAAATCCACACCAGCCAACCAGGAGGAGCAAGAAAAGTCAGTGCTCCGAGTTTGTGTGTTTTTATTTCCACATTCTAAGTAGGCCTTGTTGTATTATCTATGTTGTCAAAACAGTGGCTTATGGGCTGGAGCCAGAACTATCAACCTCATTTTCTGAGCATCCTAAAATAATTGCCATTATCCTCTCCCAATAAGTAGAGCCTCCAGTGCAGGCGGATCTTTCTGCATGAGAAGGCCAGGGTGGGAAGTGGCCTTCTGGGATTGTAATGTTTGCTGTTACCTCAATCAACCTTGGAGCCATTTCCTTATCTGCGAATTGATAGGATTAGATTAATGCATCTCTGCAGCCCCCTTCCAAACTCCAACTACTTAAGGGATTAAAAAAAAAATCCAAGGGGAAAAAACTGGAGCAAGATTTGAGTTCCTTAAATACCATTGTATCTGCTGTGCACCCACAAACTCACTCTTTATGGCAGTGAAGGTCAGTGTTCCTTAAATCAATATTTAATGAGATAGCAGCACAAATATAAACTTGCCTGAAATCCCTTTTTCCTTAATTTCGTGGTTTTATTTTATTTTATTCAAACTGATTGGCGGGAAGGGCCTGGGGACACAAAGAATCCGGTCTTGCTGGCTTCAATTTTGCATCCTGGCGGAAGTTGCATAGATTCTTGGGCCCCAGGTCCTGATTTTGATTCAAAGTGAGCCCCAGACAGGATTTCCTCTACCTTTTAGGGCTGGTCTTCGCAATCCCCTGGTGCTGAATCTAAAATACAGATTGTGGTGCCTCATCGCTGCTCAAGGCCAGGAGAAATTTAGGGTAGAGTCCTATTCTGTAGGTACTGTACTGGCTTCTGCCGATTTTGGCAACGCTCACTCTTGCCTGCTGGGAGGCGTGGACCATGCTGGGCAGAGCTGCCAGGCTCCGGGCGGGAAGGAAGGAGAACAGATGGTCCGCTGGGGGTAGGGGATCACGTGTCAGACCTCACTCTGGGCTGGATCCAGACCTCTCCCTTCCAGGGTCCAGGAGCCCAGCTTTAGCTACTCCACCTAGGTGCACAGGGCTTCCTGGAGGAAAACTCATTTGAGTGAAAAGAGCGGGGGTGAGGGAGGGGGCTGTGAAGGGATCGGGTCTCTAACAACGGCGATATTCCGGGATCTGAAACACAATTCAGGAAAGCCAGACAAGGTGAAAGGCCTGCGGCTACGGTGAGTTGCGGCCCACTTCCGCTGGTGCGGGTGACGAGCTCAGGAGACGTGAAAACTTGCACAACGCCCTACTTTACTCTCGCTCCACTTAGCACCCTTCGCAGAACTCCAGACCTCTCCTTTGCGGAGCAGAAAGGCCACCCGTTCGTGCATATGTAGAAGGACAAGTTTAGCTCTGCAGCCCCCCGCGCTCCGAGCATCCCCGCGTGGCGCCGGGTGAATCACCCGCGCTCGGGGGCGGGCGCTGGGCTCTGGCCGCAGACTGGCAGGCGGCGCAGCCACTCGCGGGCTGCGCGACCCGGCCTGGCATCGCCCTTTTAAAAAGTCTTCCGCGGGCGGCCGCCGCTGCAGCAGCCGGAGGAGGCGAGCGAGTTCATCTGAGGACAGCCCCAGTTCTCAGAAATCCCTTCCCTGCTGGAACATCAAGCTCCCTTTACTGCAGTTGAACAAACTGCCCTAGATTGGTGGATGAGGAACCCGCCCCAAACTCGTGCAAGGAGCTCCGGGCGCCCGCGCCCACGTGAGCTAACCTTGAAATTAGCCTCTGCACCTGGGCGAGAGCTAGAGGGGGTGGTGGTGGGCAGGAGGTGGCTGTGGGCCTCAGTCCGAGCCTTTGTGCCCTTCGCGTGCGCACCGCCCCCGCCACCCTGTTTCATAACTATAGCGTGCTTGCACTTAAAAAAATCTCCCGAGCAGGAGGGGCGAGCAGTGTCGGGGAGAGGGCACCTTCCACCCCCGCCCCCACGAAGAAGAGGAAAGCCTGCCCTCTGGTCCCCCCGGGAACACTGCGGAGTAGGGTGTCGAGATGACATCAGCTTCTAAACATAGCCCGCACCGCACCCCAACTCTGAGCGCCGCTAGCAGGGCGCGGAGGAGGAGGGGGGAGGCGGGCGCTGTGTCCCCGGGCGGGCTGGCCGGGCTGTGCGGGTGGAGATGACTTGCAGGAATCGTGCTTTCCGCGTTGGCTGCCAGATCTGCCCGCGATGGCCCGGCCGCGGGCTTGGGGGACGTTCCTGCCGTTCCGTGCTCTCCCGTGCCCCATAAAGACCACGCGCGCACACACACACGTGCACTTGCACGGAGCCCTTGCAGCCTGAGTGTCTCTATTAGTAAACCGGCCCGGCCCGGCCTCGGGGGTGAGCGGCGAGGGTCGGGGCGGCCCTCCCCGTGAGTCAGTCGGGCTGTTTCCTGCGGTTGTTGTGGAACAGTTTGTCCTTTTTACCCACCCCCTCCGCCCCGTCTCCACCCCCTTGGTAAATATAGCGCTCACGTTTCATCATCTCTTTGTCCAACGAGCGCCAGACACCCCGGCCCGCGGCCCCCGCCGCCGCCGCCTCCTCCCGCCTCGCCGTTACCTCGCCTGACCCCGCGGGGCGGGCGGGC